AAACATAGGTGGGGCCCTGCCCAGAGACAGGAGAGGAAAACCTCAGTGACGGGCATTCAGGGATGGGGGATACCAAAACACAGTCTCAGGCCGGCAGAGGTCATAGACAGGCATCCCAGGCCGGAACAGTCATGGATGGGGGTGACCAGACCACGAGCAGGTTTCTCCCAGCCCCTCCCGCCTCCCCATCTCCCAGGCCCCTCTCCTGCCTTCCCGTGCACCTGTCAGGCCAGGCCAACTCATCTTTATCGCCACCTGGTGGGTGCTCCAAGGACTTCGCCCAAGTTGGCCTTAAGGCCCAACCACCTGGGTCCAGGCCCCTTCCCAGAAGGCCAAGTGACACAGAGGGCAGGTGTCTCCCTTGAGCTCCAGGCAGAGGGAGAGATAAGTGGGAGGAGGTGGTGAGGCTGCAGGACTGGTTTTCAGGGTTGGCATGGAATTAAGGGGGCCCAAGGCCTGTCCACAGGCACAGGCCACTGACACAAGCCCCAGCCCAGACCCAGCTGCGACCCCAGGTAGACCTGGTCTCTGGTTGGCCACAGGCTGGCCCCTGGGCCCTCCCTGAGCCCTGACCCCAGTCCCTGAGGGCAAGGCGCAGTTAACCCACGTGGGTACCTCCTGGGAAGGCAAGGACAAGGAACCCCCCACCATCCCAGTGCAGACAGCCACCATCCCCTATGTGGTGGGGGCCACCACATGGGTGATTCCTGCCACTCTCGGGCACAGGCTGCCCAAGGACAGCCAGCATGCCAGCAGAATGGACAGTGGCAGCTTCTTAGGAGAGGCCAGCCACACTGAGGTTTTCTCCGAAGACTAGGTAGGGGTCTCTGGGGCCCAAGGGAAGGTGACGGGTGCCAAGGACACCTGAATCCAGGTGAGCAGGCATAGGGGCCCTTTCCTATGGAACACGTGGAGGCTTCCTACATGAGGCCAAGGGAGGAGGGCGGGGTTGGGCAAGCCACTCTGGCTGCTGAGAAGGGCCTGAGCAAAGGGCAGGCCTGGGCAAAACTGCCATTCCATCATGCGGGCGAGGGAGGAAGAGAGTGGGCAAGATGACGACCTGCTTTGATACGCGAAGAATGAAATGTCTGAGGGAACGGTCGGGCGCAGTGGCTCACGCCTGTAATCCTAGCACTCTGGGAGACCGAGGCGGGCGGATTGCTCAAGGTCAGGAGTTCAAAACCAGCCTGAGCAAGAGTGAGACCCCCGTCTCTACTATAAGTAGAAAGAAATTAGTTGGCCAACTAATATATAGAGAAAAAATAATTAGCCAGGCATGGTGGTGCATGCCTGTAGTCCCAGCTACTTGGGAGACTGAAGCAGAAGGATTGCTTGAAGCCCAGGAGTTTGAGGTTGCTGTGAGCTAGGCTGACGCCATGGCATTCACTCTAGCCTGGGCAACAAAGTGAGACTCTGTCTCAAAAAAAAGAAATTTCTGGGGGACATCTGTGTAGAAGCCCCAAGGCTACTGGAATCAGAACCTAAAGTGACAAGGCCCAGACAGGGGGCAGGGAGACGAGGGCAGCCCCTGTAGGGGAGGGGTGCGTGGGGAGTGTGCTAGCAGGGGTGCGGTGAGGAGTCGGAATCAGCCCTCCATTCCCACCACTCACCCAGGGCCTGTTTTAATGAGCAATGACCCAACCTCCCCCCATGTGGGAACAGGAACTGCCCTTATCTTTCCCGGGGGAGGGGGCCAGAGCCACAGCTGGCAGTCATTAAACACCCTGATCAAGCCAGGGATGGACGAGATATTAATAGCCAGGAGTCGATGGCCCTGGAGACACAGCCTCCCAGGAAGAGGCTGTGTCCTCAGCAGGCCATGGGGATGAGGAGGACAGGCCAGGAGGCCACCCTGGCAATGCCCCAGCCTCCATGCAGGACAGGCGGGGCAACCAAAGTCCAGAGAAGGAAAGGGAGTTGCTTGGGATTGTCAGTGCCATCATTGGTAAAGCCTGGCCTCGAACCCAATTCTCCAAATCTCAGAGTCCTGCCCCTTCGTTGCATGGATTTTCATAGAGGAGATCATTGGGGGTACCCTGTGTGGAAACACAGGAGAGCAGACCCAGTTGGTGATACCGATTCTTTGTAATCTTGATGGGTTTTTTTGTTTTTGTACCTTTGCATTAATTTTCATTTTTTAAAATATTATGTTAAAATATTATCTTGATTAGCAAGTTTTTTTTTACCACCCCTTAAATTTTGTACCCAAGGTATGTACTCATTTGCCTCACCCTAGTCCCAGCCCAGCCCCCAGGGCTCCCAGCATCCCTGAGTCCCAGGATTTCAGCATGGAAGTAATTTTGGAGAGCTCTAGACCAGCCTCTATGTAGCTCAGAAGAAGAGGATCCCGCCGGAGTGATGCTTGCTAAAAGTAGGCAGCTCCGGGACAAATTCAGCAGCTCAACAATGTCATGGTAGACCTGCGTGTTTTCTACTGTCCACTCTGCCATTCTCATCTATAGACTTTGAGACTCAGACTTATCCCCCCATGATTGCAAAATGGCCATTGCTGCCCCAAGCATCATGTTCTCACAGAACCCCATCTGTGGGCAAGGAGGAGAATTTCTCCTATGTGAGTCCTTTTATCAGGGGAGATAACCTATCCCAGGGTCCACTTTCTGCACACTCTCCTCGGGCCAGGATTAGTTTACATAACCAAATCCCAGCTGCAAGAGAGGCCAGGCTTCAATAAGGGAAGTTGATCTGCTGAGGAAGAGAGGGGAACGGCAATTGAGTAGGTAAGCAACAGAGTCTGACTTGCAGTATGTTTTTGGATGTCTCTTTGGGTAAATGTGTGATCTTTCAGATTTCCTCTGCCTGGAATCTGGTGGTGTAGTATATATATGGTGAAGGCGAAGGAGCTAAACCTGGTTCAGTGCAGGAAACAGAAAACAGTCTAGGTATTTTGTGCAGAAAGAGATTTAATGTAGGGAATCAAATGTTGGAAGGTTTGCAGGATTAGAAGTTTAGGCCACCTTTATCCTTCATGGTCACACCACCACAGCTGCCACCTTGCAGAAAATTATTGCAACCTCCCAATTGCACATCCATTAAGCTGGTGACAAAAAAAAGTGGAGGGAACATAGTCCCCTGCTGCTGCAAAACACTCCTGTCTGCCAGATCCCACCCATCAGCCCCATGCTGCAGGCCTCCACCTCCCTTCTGCCTCTGACTCTCTTGGCAGTGCTTACCTCTGGCAGAGCCTAAGTTGCATTGGATCTCTAGCAGCAAGGGAATTTGGGAAAGGCAGTCTTGAGCCTTCCAGCCCCTGTAACACAGAGGAATATGGAAGGGGCTAGAGAAGAGACCAAATCCCAATAGGTAATTTCCAGCACAGGGACTCAGGTGGCATCATAGCCCAAGTCCCCAAAAAGCAGAGCCTGAGACAAGGGCCTGTGACCAGGAAACAGAGAAGAGTGAAACAGGGAAATGAGGACAGACAATACAAAGGTTAGTTACTGAGGTGGCCACTGCTGGGGCAATGGGAACTCATTGCCACTGGGACCCGCTGAGGAGCTGGCAGATGCACTTTAGAATTGTCCTCCTAAGGGACATAAAAGGAGAGCATTGGCCACTGATTCCCATCATCTAGTGCTCAAGCTTTGCCCATGTCAACCCCCTCGTGCTTCCAGGCTTGGCAGGCATGAGCATTAAGGAGGTTCCTGCAGGTGTCCCACAGGACGTCACCAGAGGAGCCCTTGGGCAGAAAGTGCTAGATGTGGGGTGCAGACGAGCTGAGGAGCTGTCAGGTTACTCCTGCAGGAAGCTGGCAAAGGTGGGCCACTAGGATATGAAGCTGAGGGTCCAGTAGAGGTGGCCTGCTGGGGGCAGGGAAGAAGAACCTCACACAAAGGTCCTTGTGTACTAGGGTCTTCATGGACACTTACTGGCCCTGCCGCCACAGTCTGTCACTGGGGTACGCACAGCCTGCTCTCTCGGCTGGGCCCCCAGGGTCTACCCTAGGTGATCTAGTCCCACTGTGCCACCCTGTGGCCTCTCAGACCCCTCCAGTCAGTCTCAGCCATGCCTCTATCTGGCCCTGGGTGTGCACTGCCCTCCCCACGGGCTCCATGGCAGACTTGCTTTACCATGAACCATGGCAGCACCATGACAGGCCCACCAGGTCCAACTCGGCCACCTTCCTCATGGCTCGGGGATCACCACAGGAACCTGTGGATCCCTTCTAGACTTCTGGCCATTAAGTCTAGAGCTCCACCATTTTTATCCAGAGGGGGCACTCACAGGGCACGGGCAGCCCGGGAGCTATCTCCCAGACATACGCACCCTCTATTTTTAGCTTTCAAATTTTTCCCCCCCAAATTTCATCCCCGATGATGACACTGAGACACGTGTCAGACGGATTCTTCCCCGTCTCCTTTCTCCCTTCACCAGCTGTAGGGTGGGCTTCCTGCCCTCCCCCTCCATCCTAGCTTCTTCCTTCCAGAGATGACATCGCTTTCTCTGCCTCTCCCTGGGTCATAATGCTGGAGTGGCTTCAGAGTGACATAATTTCAGGGGCAGAGGGATGAGAAATATATCTATTTAAGGATTTCAAAATATTACTGTCATTATGTTCATTCAGCAAATAATTCCTGTGTGCACAGTTCTCGATACTCAGGACACCGTGGAGAACCAGGCAGAGCTCCTGCCCTTGTGGAGCTGACCCTCTAATGGGTAGAGACAGATAATAAATGAGGCCGGGGGCAGTGGCTCACACCTGTAATCCCAGCACTCTGGGAGACCGAGGTGAGGGGATAGCTTGAGGTCAGGAGTTCGAGACCAGCCTGAGCAAGAGCGAGACCCCATCTCTACTAAAAATAGAAAAATCACCCAGTCAACTAAAAATGAAACAAAAAATTAGCCAGGTGTGGTAGCTCGCGCCTATAGTCCCAGCTACTCGGGAGGCTGAGGCAGGAGGATCGCTTGAGCTCAGGAGTTTGAGGTTGTTGTGAGCTAGGCTGATGCCACGGCACTCACTCTAGCCTGGGGAACAAAGTGAGACTGTCTCAAAAAAAAAAAAAAAAAAGATAATAAATGAGAAAAATTCCAGAAGCAAGCAAGCAGGGTGAGGGCTAGAGTGAGGGGGTGCTCTGTTAGTTGGGGTTGTCAGAGGAGGCCTCCCCAAGGGGTGGGCAGTGGAGCAGGAGCAGGCCACTCCTTCCTGAAAATCAGAGGATTTTAAACCATGCATGTCAGAGCTGGGGCTCAGAGGCCTTGAGGTCCCCTGCCTCTGCAGAGGTAGGCTGGACAGTATCTGAGGACAGCCTGGAGCTGGGGGTTGGGGCTCAGCACTGTCCAAAGCCCTTCCCCTGAGCAGGGGCTCAGGTGCCCGCTGCTGGCAGAGCAATGGGGAAAGGGTGCTGGCTGGGTGTGGAGAGAGGCTTGTTTCTTGGGCCTCCACTGCAGCCGTGCTCTGGGCTCACAGACTCCATTTGGGCGTGGGGAACAACAGCCTCCCCCACCCCCAGTTCAGTGTCCTCGGTGCCAAGTGACAGAGAACAGGCAGCTCTTGAAAAGACTAATATTTACTCTTCAAACGGGAGCTGGCACAGGCTGTTTCCTGCAACTGGCGTCTGGCTTGCCCTGTGGGATGGATGCAACAGGAGGTATGCGGGAGATAGGCAGATGTCCCCTCCTGAGACAATGTCTGCGGGATGGGGACAGCATGTTCCAAGATCCCATCCGACACATCCCGTCTCTGCCTGCACACCTCCCGGGTGGACCAGTCCCTGCCTGTGCAGCCCCCGCTGGACGGCTCCGTGAGAAAGGTCATTCTAGTGTCGGCCCTGTGTTCCTTGCCCCTGGCTCTTGCTCTGATCCCTGGGGCCTCAGAAAATGTTCCTGGGACAGCCCCCCAGGGCCATGGTGGTCCCGGCCACCTTTACCCGCCCGCCACTCCCACCAGCCTCCAGCTTCACTTCCCCAGGCTCGCTCTCTGGGCTCTGTGGCCAGAACAGGCTATTTCTGGGGCGGGAGGAGGGCCTTGCCTTGGGGGCACCTCTTCCCCCCTGCAGCTGTGTCCCTCCTGCTCGTGAGAGCCCTTCAGCTGAGTGCGCGCCTCGTGTGGGAAAGAGTCCTGGCCAGGAAACTACTGGTCAGACAGCCTGAATCTGTGGAGGAGAGAGTCCCTGGTGGCTTGGTGGCCAGAGCCAGCTCCCACCCGCCCGCTTTCCCCTCTGGAGTCCTCTCCTCTCTGCTTTCTGTCCTTCCATGTCCCCCACGGCCTCCAGAGCCCTCCGTCACCAACACAGCCCCTGGCCTCTGCTTCAGATTCCCCCTACCCGAGCAGCCTGGGAGGCTCGAACGCTCTGGCTGCACCAAAAGCCGGTCTCGTCAGCCTCCTCCGGGGCTGGGAACACCCAGGACAAGATCTCCCAGGGGAGATGCAGCCCACCTTGTTCTCCCACAGCTTTCAGACCTGACTGCTGAGTCTAGAAACCTTTTTTTTTTTTTTTTTAAATTCCTTATTATCCTACACTTCACTCTCATGTTCCTGGCCCCTTGTAGGCAACCCTTCTGGTGTATTTAACATGTATCTTTTTGCATATATCCTTATAAAATAGTTCACCATTTCGTGTGCATCTATTTCTAATCATATAAACATCATTTCTTACCCAGCTCTGAGTGGTGAAGATCCATCCACGTTGTGATGTTACATCTAAAGCTGATACTTCCACCTGCTCCGTGGTGCTCCGTGGTGAGCCTGCGCACTTCCCCTGCCCGCCATGGATGCACAGGTTGCCTTCCGCCAACACAGACGATGCTTCAATGAACAGTCATCTTCATACATGTTCCCTTAAGGATCTGTGTAAGAATCCTCCTGGGACATATAACCAGTGGTAAAATTTCCACATCACGAGGTGTGTACGTGCTTTATTTGGGCAGGTATGCTGTAGTCATTGCCCGGGGCTGCCATAAAAAAGCATCAGAGTCTGGGTGCCTTAAACAACAGAAATCTATTTCCTCATAATCCTGGAGGCTAAACAGTCTGAGATCAAGGTGCCTGATGGCTGTCTTCTTCTCCTTGTGCCTTCACTTGGCTTTTCCCCTGGGCCTGCGTGCTAATCTCTTACAGGCACTAGTCCTAGTGGACTTGGGCCCACCTATAGGACTTCGTTTTATCTCAATTACCTCTTTTAAAAAAACTTTTTTTAGGCCAGGCGCTGTGGCTCATGCCTGTAATCCTAGCACTCACTCTGGGAGGCCGAGGCGGGAGGATCCTTAAGGTCAGGAGTTCGAAACCAGCCTGAGCAAGAGCAAGACCCTGTTTCTACTATAAATAGAAAGAAATTAATTGGCCAACTAAAGATATATACAAAAAATTAGCCGGGCATGGTGGTGTGTGCCTGTAGTCCCAGCTACTCAGGAGGCAGGAGGATTGCTAGAGCCCAGGAGTTCCAGGCTGCTGTGAGCTACGGCACTCTAGCCCAGGCAACAGAGTGAGACTCTGTTTCCCAAAAAAAAAAAAATTTTTTTAATTTCAACATATTACGGGGGTACAAATGTTTAGTTTATGTATATTGCCCTTGCCCCACCCAAGTCAGAGCTTCGGGCCTGTCCATCAACCAGTTTAAAGGGTCCTGTCTCCAAATGCAGTCATGTTCTGAGGTCTGGAGTTAGACTTCCAAATGTGACTTTCGGGAGGGACACAACTCAGCCCCTCCCAGGAGCACAGCTCTGCAGGTGGGCTGTGCCCCTCCACCACTGTCAGCCACGCACGGGGTTCTGCAGCCCCACGCTCCCTCCTACCTTTGGTGCCACCCAGCTCTGCAGGTTTGGCCAAGCTCAGAGGTGTAACGTCATATCCTACTGTTGTTTTAATATGTATTTCCCTGTATGTGTAATGCTTTTAAATCTCCTCATAGGCTTATTAGCTTTTTTGGCTTTTCTCTTCTGTACATTGTCTGCTCATTTTTCTATTTGGATTCCTCTTTCTTGCTGATCTACATGAATTGCTTCTGTATTAATGCCTTCAGGCATTATAAATATCTTCCCCCATTATATTTTAATTTTGCCCATGAAATCCTTATTTATATACAACCAAATTCATCGATCACTTTGCCTTAAGGGTGTGCCCATGACATTTTTGTTTAAAAAAGTCCTTTTCCAATATAGGCCACAAAAATATTCTTCATGTTCTTTGATGAACTCTTTTGCCTTTCACATTTGATCCGGCGACATCTTAGGAGCTGACTCGGCTGAGCCAGGCAGGGTCTTCCTGCCAGGTGCATTCGGGTGGCCCCTCCTCTCTGAGCCTCTCCTCCAGTGGCCCTGCCCAAAGATGCTTGGCAGTTGTCAAGCAGCACCTTTGCTACCTGGTCCCCTTCGAGGGGTAGGGCCCAAGAAAAAAGAAGGCAACACATTAGCCTGAACTCCTCCCCAGTCCTCCTGGCACAGAAAGGAGGTCTCTATGGGCCAAAATCTGCTTTCATTCTTTTTTGAGACAGGGTCTCCCTCTGTCACGCGGGTAGAGTGCAGTGGCACAATCATAGCTCACTGCAGCCTCGAACTCCTGGGCTCAAGCAATCCTCCTGCTTCAGCCTCCTGAGTAGCTGGGACTACAGGCATGCGCCATCAGCATGCCTGGCTAATTTATTTTACTTTTTGTAGAGGCAGGTTCTTGCTTATGTTGCCCAGGCTGGTCTTGAACTGACATCAAGTGATCCTCCTGCCTCGACTTCCCTAAGTGCTGGGATTACAGGTGTGAGCCGTGGCACCCAACCCCTGTTTATTCTCTGTGGCTGCTGCTCATTTTTCACGGGGGACAGAGCTCTGGGCTGTACTGTCACTGGCTCCCTCCTCTCATTGCTCAGCTTCCCCACCTGAGCAACAAGAAGGTTGAACCAGATGGTATCTAAAGCTCTGTCAACTCCCAAATCCCAGCACCCAGTAACTCAGATGTTGATTTCAGAAGTTGTTGCCTTCCTCTAAAAGATTCTGACTCAGGACAGATGGTAGAGTGATACTTGGAGTATGAATTCCCCAGTGTGTTTAGAGGATAGTCAGGAGAGGATGGAGCATTTGCTTCCTTTCTGGGAATTTTATCAGCTGCTGCAGGAACGGCCTCTGCAAAAGGGGACAGGCTCCTGGCTGGGAACCTGATGATGTGGCCAGCAGCTGCGCCTCCTGGTGGCCATCCTGTGACGAGACTGGCCCTGGGAGATAAAGTCACCACCCTTAGTTGCAGACAGAAGCCCAGAGCAGGGAGCATGTCTGCCCAGGGCCCCCAGCAGGGCAGAGGCAGAGCCTGCCAAGGAAGCAGGCCTCCCCGCCCCTAGTGCGGTGCCCCGACTGCTCTTCCGGTTGGGGATTATTGCTAAGGGCTATCTGAACCTTCGCACCTGTCTAGACTTCACTGGACAAGAAGACCTTCTCTCAGCACCCCCCTCCCATTATGTCAGCCCCACATCATACCATACAGCAAAAAGGACGCGTAACTCAGGATTTTTCACACAAGTGCAAACGCGCGCGTTAATAACCGCCTTAGATTTATTCTCCTTCCACTTCTGGAGCCACATCATTTATTTATACATACGCAGGATATAAATGGCTATACAATGTTCTTTACACACATTTACTCAAGTTTAGGTTTTACAGCTCTGTGGAAGTTTGTCAAAACATACCCATGATTTACTCAAAATAGATCTACACTGTTACATGACAACACCAGGAGGTTTGGGTGACACGGACGGCAAATATGCAAAATGAACATATGCAGTAAATGGTTTTGCCCTGACTAAATAGGCCTCGATATTGTATGCTCTTAATAGAAGGTCCATTAAACAAAATAGAATCCTGGGGGTCAAGTCACGGGAATAATTCATTAAATAATGCTTCTGAGGTGACCCCAGAATCTCACAAATGAAAGGGTTAAAGAAGGTCATATGTGCCAAGCAGGGGCTGAAGGACCGGAATGGGTTTGTTAATTTTACCCTAAATAAAAGGCGCTTGTGGGCAACAGCTCTGCCATGGGTACTCATGGGCAGATGTTTCCAGATCTCGCCATTCCCAGATTTTACTGACAAGCCCTTTTCCACAGGTTCCCTGCTGACGAGGTTTCCCCGGCAACAGAAGTTTGACATCACGCTCCCAGAACGGGAGAATGAGAGTGCTCTTTGTTTGGGTCGAGGACGGACCTTGAGGTTTGGCCCAACCACCAGAACCGGCCTCCTTGGATCCTGGAGTAGACGGAACACCAATGGGACCGCAGGCGCTGTGCCCAGGAAGTGGGAGGCAGGTCCAGGAGGAAGAAGAGAAGCCACTACCTCTCTAGAGTGAAAGAATGAGGCTGTTTACACTGCAGCAGCATAAAACACCTTTTTGTGAAGGCCAGAAGACGTGGCTGTGCAATGCTGCCTGAAGCACGCAAAAGAGCCTGCGTGTGCCAAGGGAACTCAAAGCCTTCCTCCTGCACACAAACAGTGGATTCACCCCGTGTTCCCCTCCACGACCACTTCTGATCCCTACAACAGCACACCAGCGAAGCAGGCCGAGCTCACCATTTCCCAAACAAGGACACGGAGGCCAGATGGGCATTGACTTGCCCACTGTTGTCAGGTCCAGTCTCTAGGCAGACTGTTGTCCTGGTTCTTTGGTTCCTTGCTTGAAAAATTCACGAGCAAGGCCAGTGTGACGGAGCAACCACAGACAGGGAGCAATTCCACACACACAGCTTTTACTGCAAGAAAGAAGAGAGCTGTAGAAAGCGAGAGTATGTTCCAGTGGGGAACAGGTCAGTCTCCATGAGTGGAGAAAGATGTTAAGGACTCCCAGGTGGTTTCCTGTTACTGGCCTGGTCCAGGGAAAGGGCTTTCGGGAGGTGTGGGATGGTACCAGATTGATTTATATGATTGACAGGTGTTATTATAACAAAGTTACATGGAAGGAGTCTCCGGGATGGCTGGCAAGGTCTCTTTCTTGACCTGTATGGTGTGTACCTTATAAAAAATATTTACAGAGTCATAATAGTCTTTATTTTTGCGTGTCTTTCTATAGCTATGTTTTATTTTACAATAAAATGATTTGGTAAGTTAAAAAAAAAAAGTTGCAACTCCACAGGTGTGTATGTCTCAAAACCTCAGGCTCCTGCTCTTTGTGGTTGTTAGCTATGTTTTCCTGCCGTCCGCTCCCCGGCTTCTCCGCCCCTAGGAACCACCCTCCTGGCCTGTGTCTGCCACCTGCAGATTTGGTCCCTGCCTAACACTGTGGCGCAGGACTGAGTAGAAGGGCCAAGCCAATATCCAGGCCATCTGACCAGTGCACTCCTTCCCCTACCTCCTCTCTCAGGGCCACATCTACTTTCTCTTCCTCCACCATTAACTCCCAGTACACAGGCAGCGCTTCCCCAGACCTGCTCGGGACTCATGCAGGAACATTTGGAATGTGAGCACTGTCTGAACAGGGGTTTGCCAAGCACATCTGATCACCATAAGCACTCCCATCCCTGCCTGTCCTCACTTGCGAAGCCCTGTGCAAGCAGGCAGCAGGTTGTCTGAGGGCCACTGTCCTGCATGTCACAGTCAGTGGCCAACTCCTTTAAGGAACAGCAAACGGCAACCCCGGATGAAGGTGCAGCATGCAGCCCCTACATGCTAAGGGGCAGCTGCTATCTTCCAGCAGAGACAACCTCTAGCTCTGCTCCCTACCTATCCTCTGCTTCCTGCACCCCTAACAGCTGGCCTTGCTGCTGGCCCCCTGGCTGTCATCTTTGACTCTGAACAGTGCTGACCACCAAAGTGCTCCTCCTCTCCAAAACCTAAATCCTGGGCGGGGTTGGGCCTCAATGCAGTCTGCTCCCACTCTGAAGAGCCTCTACCCACCCTTCCAATTACAAGTAAAGGTGGCTTTCCCATCCCTGCAGAGACTCCAGTTTCAGCCTCTGTCCCCAGGGCTGGAATGGGTAGGGCTGTGGTGGAAAGAGGTAGGAGAGCTGGAGAATGGGAGCACCTATGAAAGAAGAGAGGAGCTCAACATGAGGTTGATCAAAATGACTAAATGTTTTAATACCCTTTTCAGCACCCCTTGAAGAACTTTAAAATGTTGGGCCCTGGTTCACAACACATTTCAACAGAGTTCACAGAAACCAGGGATGCGAAGCTGGGAGCCTATGGTGACATTCCTCCTGCTGTGGGCAGTGGAAACTCTGGCACTGAGAGGAAATGCCACCCCCAGTGTGCCCCCAGCTGTCTTCACCCGGGAAAGGAAAGCCAGGTATAGTCTTCGTCACAATAAGGCTAGCCTAGCGAAAAGAAAGCCAGAATTTACGTGTTTCCTTCGTTAGGATACCTGGGGAAGGGGAAACCCAGGGGCCTGGCTCCCCTGGTCGGGAAACCCTGCCTAAGTGAGCGGAGCCACACTCTCACCCTAATATAGCAGATGGGACTTAACACACTCTGATGCTCAAGATCCTGCAGTGTCTGATACTAGTAGGCACCTTACCTTTAAAGTTTTGTTTTCAACACGATGTCATCTATTTCCAGATCTAGCACTGTGAGGTCAGTTGGGCAGGAAGCATTTAACACCAGAAAAAGAAAGGTGCTTAGAACTACAGGGAGTCCATGGTGCAGTAAAGATGACTCCTGGGATTTGGAACCAGCTTTCTGGCATCAAGGGTCATGCAAAGGGCTACAAACCTCCAACCCTAAACCAAGTTAACCCATTGCACTCAGATGTCAAGTGTGGATAATGTCGAGTGGATAATGAGAAAAAAGCAAGTGAGTGCAAAGGGTTAAACTCAAGCCTGGGATTTCTCTTGGATGAAATAACAAGAACTCCTTTCCTATCATCAATCTCTTCCTCTAGTTAAGTTGAGGCTTCTTTTAGCTAGATTTTAGTTAAACAATGCTTTTGTGGTCATTACTTGTACAGCTTTTCTAGTGCATTTTTTCCTTTTGCTTGCAAAAGGAAATCTTAAACCCCATGTAGATGTTAACTGATTAAGACCAAATTCAATCAAGTGTGGATAATTTCTCCACTAGGGCCTCAGTGGGCAAGAAGCATTCACCACGAAGGACTCATCTTCCAGTCTTGTCTTTACTACATGCTGAATATGGATCACAGGCTCAGACCCCCAGAGCATCGGGGAAACAGGGCAGCACCAGTACAACACAGGCTTAAAAAGAAAACAATACATTTTCAAGCTGTTCTTATCAACTTTTAGAGCTTTTTTGTGCTTCTAATTTAAAAGAATTTTTCTCCCCTCCTTGGGTTCCCATTCTATTCTACCACCTCTTCAAAACTGTCTCCCAGAAAGATTGAAAATTCACCTGCCCAGGTGTGCAGAAAATTATGCAAATACATAATCAATGGAGAGACAACTCTGAAGCTTACATCTCAGGATACATATAATGTCCAGATATTTTATGTTAGGTTAAAAATAGAAAATTCTATTCTAAGAAAATAAAGTTACTATGGCAACATCTTCCCAACATAGTTCCCAGTTTTCCTTAAAATGACATGAAGGTAGCTCAATAACAATACGATAGCTGTGGTAACCAAATATAACTGAATTCTCTAAAACTACATTCTTGCTTTCCCCACCTACTCAATAACTCTTCCAATGGTTTTCCACTTTTAAAACCAAAATAGCACACTCGGAGGCCAAGGTGGGAGGATCGCTCAAGGTCAGGAATTCAAAACCAGCCCGAGCAAGAGTAAGACCCCGTCTCTACTAAAAATAGAAAGAAATTAATTGGCCAACTAAAAATATATAGAGAAAAAATTAGCCGGGCATGGTGGCGTATGCCTGTAGTCCCAGCTACTTGGGAGGCTGAGACAGAAGAATTGCTTGAGTCTAGGAGTTTGAGGTTGCTGTGAGCTATGATGATGCCACTGCACTCTACCTAGGGTAACAGAGTAAGACTCTGTCTCAAAAACAAAAACAAAAAAACTCTGGAGGCCTAAGGGATCTTATTCAGAACCATATTTTGGAAAACTATGATCAATCAATTTTTTGACAATGAAAGAAAGTAACTTTCCAGAGCACATACTAATCTTTAAAGCTTTAAAAAGTTAATATCTACTTAACTCTTGTTCATAAAAAATGAGTCCCTCAAGCTAATTACAATTACTGGAAAAGATGTACAGGAGTAATCAAGTTGGGAGGCCCTCCGAGAACAGCACACGGGGCAAAGTACTCATCATCCTTAAAATGACAGGCACTCAGCTGTGCTGAAAACGCTAATGACACCTCCCCAAGGCGGCCTGTGAAGTGCCACCGAATCCATGCCCTCCACCTACTTGTTTGTGGCCAACTGTTACGAATCCTGAAATTCTCATTTCTGCTCATGCTTATAAGCGTATGGCCCAGAAGTAGCGGTTATTCAGTTAATTCTTTAAAACTACAGATATACCCTGCAAATAAATATAAAACACTTCTGTACCTACAGTCCTACCACCATAAAAAGTTATATATAAATTAAACTCAAATTTCTTAACCACTTGCTCAGCTTAAGTTTGCCCCCACCTAAATGAAGTTCACTTTATATCCAAAATATATTTAAATATTCCAAAAGTATATTTAAAAAAAAGATAAACAAAATTTATCTAGCTTACATTTATGAACCACATTAAATTTTTAATTCACCCTGTACTGACCTTCTAAAAAAATAGTCTATTTAGACTGGAAAGCTGATTTTCATTTTAAAGTGGTTCCTCAGACACGACTGCCAATTACTAAAACTAGTGTTATTGAATTTAGTGGTTTATTGCATCATTCAATATAAAAGACCAAAATATTTCCATTCTGATCTTTTAATAAATCTCTTTCTGAATGAGCCCCTAGAGTGTGCTATCCTACATAAACCAGATGAACTGGAGATTCTGCTGTTACACTTGACACAAAACCGAGACTTGGTATCAAGCGACCTCACGACTTCCACTGCAACTGTAAAAAATTCCCAATTCTTGGCTTGTCAGTCCAGTTTTGTTGAAAGAAATTTCAAGGATGAAAACTTGAGGTGCAGTCGAGAAGCAGAAAGGAAAGCCTACATTGATCCTCAAAAGTAAATCAAAGAATCTGTTCATCACACGGCGTCATCCTCATACTCCACAGTCAGACTGCTTCTCCTGAAGCTGCCTGGTCAGTATCTGGTGTGAAGACAGAAAAGCCACTCCTATGTGGAAAAGGATTTGCCAGAGGTTCCGCAGCCCATGTAGGTACACGTTGCCCAGGCAAATAAACAGCAGCATCAGCACCACCTTCATAGTCCGGGCTGGACTGTAGAACAGGTACAAATAACACTGAAATGAGACCACAAGAGGAAGTCCAATCAGAGATAACAAAATAATCACAAGGTCAGGTGCAGAGCTGCCATGAACAGCATCACCTCCCTCACATTAAACTGAATTCACTACAATGAAGCTTGGGCCCACGGGTCAGGCTGCTGTTAGTCACTGCATGAAAATGAGGATTTGGAAGAGAGAAAGAAAGTGAAATAGGTGTCACAGGAGGAATCAGTGCATGGCACGTTTGAAAGAAGTTTAAGGAATCTAGACAGAAATGCCCAGGCTGTGGGCTGTACGGAAAGAAGGGACACAGGGTATGGGGCACACAGCCAGGCCAGGAGAGCCTAACCAGACTGACTGGCCTCCCAGTGAAATTTTCCTCCAGGGAGCCATGACAGGAAAGCAAGCTGTTGAGAGAAAGCTGTGCTTATACTGTTTTGGTTTCTCCCAAGTCACAACTACACTGAGTACCACTGTTCCCTTGGGTATTCTCCTTATCATGTCGGTGAAAGCATCTCTGAGTCAGGGAAAGGCCTCACAGCAGGTAGAGTGACTGGTATTTTGTGCAGGGCTATCACAAAGAAAAGGGGCCACTCTTGTTCTGCAAAAGGTGGCAACAGCATTTGGGTTCAGTGTTAAAAAAAATAAAAAATAAACAACAACAAAAAAACCCCAGCCCAATCTCAGAACACAGAGCACTCCAACAAAGGCTCTAGCTACAGTGGGAGGGAGCTATCCAGGCAGGAACACAGTTGAGGAAAGGAGGTGGAACTGTAAGGTCCCTGCAGCCCTGATGCACAACTCTAGGAAACTGCCATTGGCTACACTCAAAGTATTAGGTACTCAGTTTCTAAAAAAATGAGTGCATTATCAATCTTTGATTGAAAATTTATTTTTGCATAATCAGGTACTTCTTAAAAAGAAACCATTCTAGAAAGCATGTGGAAGAGAGGGGAAGTGCTCTGAGAACAGAAATTTTAATTTAAAAAAAAGGAGAAAAAAGCTTATGTATGCAGAGAAAGTACTAAAATCTAAGCCCATGTGGAAGATAAGGAAGGAAAATTAGAGCCAGGTTCTTACTAAAATTAACTCTACCTATGAGGGATTCAAAAGCTTCTCTTTATACCACCCATTAGTACATAGCTTATTTGAAAATAACTAACTAATAATCAAAGCCTTCTAATTAATGTTCTAATGGTTATTTTAACTCCTAAGAGATAGCTTTGACTCAGGCAGCATTACTATTAAAAAACCAGCAGTTTTTTTTTACCTAGTTCTATATTAAAAAACAAAAACAAACATATACACATAGACGTCACTTCTACAGAAGGACACTTCTGCCCTTAGACTGTTCTAATAATAAGCACAAGGCAACCCCCTGCCTCACACTACTCAGGCCCAACTCAATCCCCACTACAATCTCATCCTTCCTCTCTGGGGAGTCAAATCCAAACTCCTGGTTTCTGTTCTGCTGTTGTCAATGGCCCTGTGGCTTTCCCTTTCTGAGCCCGAAGTTCTTCCTCTGTAAAATGAGAGGATTGGACAGGATGGGCAAAGGTCTTTCCACCAAGGCAGCAGTCCCCAACCTTTTGGCACCAGGGAACAGTTTCATGGAAGACAAATAATTTTTCTGTGGACAAGGTGGGGGGGGGCAGAGCTCAGGCAGTGATGTGAGTGATGGGGAGCAGCTGCCAATACAGATGGGGCTCTCCTGCTGCTCACCTCTAGCTGTGGGGCCCCCTCCCCCCCATTCCCAAGTTTCATAAAAAAACAATTTTTCCACAGATGTCGGGGGAGCGGCGGAGCTCTGTGGCCTGGTCCCTAACAGCTGCAGAAAGGCTTGGTACTGTCCATGATTTGAAACACGACTTTGGTGGAACAAAAATGGGATCTAAAATTTGCTGATAGTTCCAACAGAGGAACAAAATAAGGCCATGGGTTTACCCTACTTACCAAAATATCACTGTTTCACCCACCTGGAAAATGCAGGCTACAAAAGGAATAAGAAAAGCCAGAATGTTTCCAATCTCTTCCTGGGCAACCTAAAACAAACATAAAGAACACAAGGAAAGGAATATTTAGATAAAAGGAAACACTGTAACATGAAGTACTTTACTCCCTCAGTTTGGTATGGTTGACAATATAAATTTCTGGCTGGGTGAAACATAAGTCCCTGCTTATGTATCAGATAAGGGTTAGCATGCAACCATTTTCAATGGCCTGGACATACCATGTGCCCTCCTGTCCCCATGTGTCTATGCTAAATCTTCACCTGGAATGAGCCCCCAATCCCTTTACCTCTCAAAATTCTATTCATCTGTCAATGCCAAGCTTTCTCTAATTCCTCTCACCCCCATATACTGCCACCTCCTTAGTGCTGCCACCACACTCTGCTTTGTGCCACGAGAGTCCCAAGGCAGGGACTATGCCTTAACCATCTTGTCAGCCGGGCAGCTATTCTAGTATACACAAACAGAAAGCTGGTAAGTGTCAGGTTATGAGTAATCACAGTGAGAGTGGAAACCATACCATACATCGGTCAAAGACAGGGTGTGTGGTAAGAGGCAGTTACCACTCCTATCACACAGGTCTGCTGCCATTCTCCAAACAGGTCAGTCTACACCAGTTTCCTGAGGTTCAACATCAGCCAAGTTTTTAGACTTTAGCCACCACATGCATGGGTATGGGCATGAGTAATGACTATCTGTTTATGCTAATAATGGTTCTATACCTTTTTAAAGTATTTGAAATACTTCAAAATTAAAAAACTATTTTTTTTAAAAAAAGCATTGAAATAGAAAGTTGCTTCAAGATGAGCAGGCCAACAAGGAATTTTCTAATGAAATAGTTCTTTGACAAAGACACAACGAATGTGGCGTCTGCATTATACAAATTGGACTATGAGACAACCTTTTCCCAGGGAAAAAGAGCCTGAACTTTAAAGTCTGAGAATCAAACTTTTGCCCTGGGGTAAATAATCCAGCCCCTGGAGTGACTCCTGGGGCCCCAAGGGCCATGGGGTAGTCTAATGTCCCTGTAGAAAGCTGTACATTTCTTACCAATATCCCAGCAGGTCCCTCTGGCTTCTTAGGACAAAAGAACAACTTTCAATTTCAATTTTTTGTAGTAAATTTTTTCAATTTACTACAAAGAATAAAATTTTAGATAAAGTTTTATTTGAATTAAAAAAATTTAAAATCTTAGTATATAATAACCTTATAAATAAAATGTATCCTCATCAGTTTCTTCCATCATATGTCCTTCAATTTAAACTGTAAAAAGAAAAAAAAAAAAGAGTTACCTGTAAAGAATGTTCTGCAAGGTGAACTCCACGAATGAGATTCAGAGCAGCACACATGATGTTGAGAATGAGGGAGAGGATACCCAGGGCTGTCACTGGTTCCATTCGGAAATTAGGAGCTTCACAATTAAAAAAAATAAGTGTCTAGTGAAAATAATTTCTATATGAAAGAAAAATAAACAAAGGCATTAACTAGACCTCCACTAACAATAGGTTTATTATGTTAAACACAGAATTACAAACATATTAATTTTTAAAGTAGCAGAAGTTAGAGGGGAAAAATGTAAGAAATGAAGGACAGAATGGATCAGGGAATCTGAGGTGAGTTTCTTCCAAAAGACAGGCCCTTCTCTAAGCAAACAAAGGTTTTTTAAGCGTTTAATTTCCATTCTATCTAAAGCAGTTGTTCTCAGTCAGCCCCACTCCAACAAATGGTATTTGGCAATGTCTGGAAACATTTTTGGTAGTCAAAACTAAAGACAGGATGCTACTAACATCTAGTGGGTAGAGGCCAGCAATGCCTCTAAATGTCCTCAAATGCAGAGGATAGCCCCCCCCCAATAAAGAATTATCCAGTACAAAAATGTCAATAGGGCTTAGGTTGAGAAATCCTGGTTTAAAATAATTTCTTATGCCACCAGAGAGAACCATGGCTTTAGTTGCAAACTGACTGTCAAATTCTGAAAGCATTTTTGTTATACTCCTCAACCCTCAGCTTGTAAATGATGCACTCTTTTTCTAACAAGGACAATATACAGTGTCATATGTGCTTCTAGTGCGCTTCGCAGCAAATGTAACTTTTTAAATTCTAAAGTAAGTGGGAAGAGGAGGAAAACAGTGGTAATTTAGGCTACAGGCTGTTTCTAGAACTACAATGAAAACAAATGTTCATTCTCTCTTTAAAGATAACTGCTGAAATTGATTCTGGCTCACAAAATTAAATGGTGTCCCACCCATTCTCTTGCTATATTCTTTTCAAAGTCATCCTTTCTTGCCCTTACATTTCACACACAAACACACACACACATGCACACACAAATACCTAGCCACAATCCAACTGAAGCCTACTGTTAGTGCATTAGAGCTTCCACCAAGCAACTCAAAGTTCTGTTAGAACAGAATTTTCTACCTGTAAGGATTCTAGCCTCAGGACAATAAGGTGAGTCAAACCACTGTGAAATGTTCTAGAAAGATGGGCAAGTTGACACTTTGTGGACTTGTTCCTCTTGTCTAAGTGTTTAAAAAACAAGACATATATTACAAAGTTATGTCTGTATTCAAATATGGCAAGGGAGAAGCCTGGGGTTCAATTACCCAGTCTTTCTTTGACAAAATTAGGTTTACTCTCAATATAAATTAAAACTTATTAATTGGCACAAGAGCCAAACCAGGAATTTATTGGTTGAAACAGATTAAACCAAAATACAAATTAAGCCAAAAACAGGAACATTTTTTAAAACACCACTTTTGAAATTCAAGTAAAGAGTTTAGTAAATAAAAACACAGTTAAGAACAAAATAATTAGACCGTTACAGTGCAGACACAGCTCTATCTTTCAGAGAAAGATTCAGCTCTTATGCCACTACAGAATTCTTAGAATGTAAATATCCCCTTTAATTAAATATTAGTTTAACTGTAGGTATTTGTAAACAAGGAATGCAAAAAAATCATGCTTCATTATGTGCTATAGCATTGAGTGGCTAATAGTGTTAATGTCAGACAAAGTCATGGAATGCCAGGGCACTGTGATCCTCTTCATTAACACCTCATTCTTCAGATGAAGACTCTGAAATACACAGGGACAGACGGAGCTCCCAGGTCTCACGGAAAGCCAGATAATGAGTACTAGCCCTGGCTCTGGACCCTGCCTACCCCCATCCCTGCAGCCCTCCCTCCAACAAGGAGCGCAGGGATTTCTCAGTGGAGATGTGCAATGTTTCCACTAAGTGATGTGGTAAGGATTCATTGTCAAAAATATCCATCTATAAAACATACAAGTATGTACAGTTCAATAGGTGACTGACTTCCAACGAAAGAGAATGAATCTCCTTTTTCAACATTTAAACTTGCAAACTTCACTCTGGTTATGAAAACAACCTGCCAAGTCACTCTTCAACTCCTGAATTTCATCAAAAGAATAGCCTCCCCTCAAACCAACTCACTGTCACAATAGTCAAGTTTTTTTTATAACAGCCACCTGGAAACAGGATCAGTCTGTATTTTCCACAACATATTTTATACCCTCCCCAAAATATCTTTCTAGTAAAAAATCAACTTCTACTTGAAATACGAAACATCACTGCATATTCATCAACATTAGAGAACAACAAGCCACGTACCCGGCTCCAAGTGCATTGGTAGGTGACCATTCATCATCCCATTTGCCACATCTGTGTCCTCCACAGTGAGGACCACTGGAGGCTGGAATTCGAGCTCCTCTTGAATTTTTTCCAAGCTGCTCTTCATCTGAGAGGAACTTACATAGTTAAAATGCCACTTTATCTTCTGAATGATGCTATCTGCAAAAAGAAAGCAACCCAAGTTGAGCATTTTCATCAGAATGGATGCTATAAGACAGTATGTATGAAATGAAGTTCACATTTTTTTTAAGAGACAGAGTCTTGCACTGTCACCCAGGCTGGAGTGCAGTGACACAATCACAGCACACTGTAACCTCAAACTCCTGGGCTCAAGTGAACCTCCTGCCTCAGCCTCTAGAGTAGCTGGGATTACAGGCGTGCACCACCAAACCAGGCTAATTTTATTTTTTGTAATGATGGGTTCTCTCTTATGTTGCCCAGGCTGGTCTTGAACTCAAGGTCTCAAGCGATCCTCCCACCTTAGCCTCCCAAAGTGCTGGGATTACAAGCGTGAGTCACCACACTCTGCCCAACTTCACATTTCTAAGAAAGTTATTAAGTTGGCCAGATTCTGAAGAATGTCAAGTTATACATAAAGGTCAAATGATTACCACATATGAATATCAGTCTGATCAATCTCGTCAAAGCAGAGTGATTACAATGTGATTGCCTGCAGAGAAGGCAAAAATGCATTGCAAACCCCAGTTACAAGCAAGTCGGGGGAAAGGGGCTTGAGTCCCAGCTCAGTCACTTCTGATAGTATAATCTTAGGCAAGTCACAGAATATTTCCAAGCTTGAAAAATGGGGACAGTTATTACTGACCTGATTATCTCAAAAAAGCTTGTTTGAAAAAAATTACAAATGAATACAAATAAGTCATACAAACTAGGATTATATACTTGAAAGGTATTGGTTTTAATTCTTTAATTTATGTTAGTACTAATCCATTACCAAACCTTAAGCTTTTGAAGTGAAGTTTCATACATATTGGCAAAGCAAAATGACACATAATTCTAATATCAGCGTTCTTTGACTCATTCTACTCCCACTCAGTAATGAGCAAACAGGATGCTCAGGCAGGGTCTCCTGTCAGACAAAGCGCAGTGCTTTAGAAGGAATACATGCGGAGATGACGGAGGAGAAGAACACAGATTCACCCAGCCACAAAGTGACTGGCAGCCACAGGGTGCCGCCACTGGGGTCTGTTTGGGGCTAGCATGCCCTCTCCATAGGAAGAAGTGGGGCTGATAGTACCAGTTTGAGCAAGGCCTCATAGGGAGATCCCGAGGCAGAACTCTCAGTCTATCCCAGGCTGGGGCCTGCACACCAGGGAGTTCCCCAGCACCTTCAGGTGACACCAAAAGAGAGTACTAGCCCCATTCCTGACGGGCCAGACAGCAGACCATATGGGAGAATGTGAGGGCTATGGCAGAAGTAGCCAGAAAGCCTAAGTGGCAACACTTTCAGGTGCTGGTCCTGCACCTGACCATTTGTACCAAATGCTGCCAGACCCTTCTTCAGGAACATCACAGAGACAGCAGCTGTTTATGCAGAGACCACAGAATGTCCCCCAGCTCCCACCTCTACTCCCATTCTCCCAAGAGCTAGCTCAAAATGAACAAAAACAGAGCAGACACTATGATTATCACGCTGTATTCCAAAGCCCCTCAGCCTCCACAAGGCCTTTCTGGCAGAACCTAGAAAACATGTATCCTTTTCCAGAGCAAACCACTGAGGACCAGTTTTTTCTTATTTCCAAACCACTACAGACCTATACTTTGATAAAATACAATAAAAAATGATTGAAGGAATGTCTAACTATGATAAGAATTTCTAAGCACTGTTTCTCGTTTTCTGTACTTACCTCATGATGGAAGAACATCCTTCGAGTAGTACTGCTCTACAGCAAGGGTCAGCAAAATTTTCTTAAAGTGCCAGCCAGATAGTAAGTATTTCAGGCTGGAGGGCCACATGGTCTCTGCTACAACAACTCAACCCTGCTATCATAGAGCAACAGCAGCCCCAGACAACATGTAAAACAATGAGCATGACCGTGTTCCAGTTTATTTACAAAAACAGGTAGCTGACCTCTGGGCCACATTCGTTGACCCAGCTTCTGAGGGAAGTGGAGAATAGCCTAGCCAGGTTTCACCCTTCTTCCACCCTGCCCCCAGGCTCTGGGGAGATGAAAAGCCAGAGTGTGAAACCTCAGAGCTTTCAGGCCACTTCAACTACTGTGAAATCTCATGGTACAAGGGTGTTCTTTACTGACATGTTACTGCACCTCCAACAATTCTCCTGATGGTGAAAGCCAAACCTAAACTGTAAGTTCTACACATACAACACCATAGGAGAGAACAATAAATACAAAAGAAGGTTACAAACCAAACTCGAGAAAAGCATATGGCCTGGAGGCTAGGCCAATGCAGGTGCTGTCATAAGAAGCTGTGAATTCCCACCACAGGGTCTCCAGGAAGCAGAAGGCCATGGCTGCTGGACACTGGCGGGAGCAGATAGCCATGCAGGCCACATCCCCCGAAGAAGAAAAACTGAAACAAAAAGGTGACATCTGCATCATCAGGAAACAGACCCATGAATTCCTACCCCTCACCCAAACACAACCTTGGCTCCATTCTGTGCTTGGTTGGCCTTAAACAGTCCTGTAGCTATCTGTTGCATATATATTATCTCTTTTTTTTTTTTTCTTGAGACAGAGTCTCACTTTGTTGCCCAGGCTAGAGTGAGTGCCGTGGCGTCAGCCTAGCTCACAGCAACCTCAAACGCCTGGGCTCTAGCGATCCTCCTGCCTCAGCCTCCCTAGTAGCTGGGACTACAGGCATGTGCCACCATGCCCGGCTAATTTTTTCTGTATATATTAGTTGGCCAATTAATTTCTTTCTATTTATAGTAGAGACGGGGTCTCACTCTTGCTCAGGCTGGTTTTGAACTCCTGACCTTGAGCAATCCGCCTGCCTCGGCCTCCCAGAGTGCTAGGATTACAAGCCTGAGCCACCACGCCTGGCCTATATATTCTCTTTAGCTAGACCTATTCCTGAGACTGTGTCTTTCTTACCCTTCCTTTAAATTGTCTAGTAGTATTAGTCACTGACAGTATGTGATCACTCTCACTTATTCAAGCATGAGGGATGCATGTTCTGTCAGGGGGAATTAGCTTCAGACTTCTCTGCATCTATTGAGAAAAATGTTTTTCTTCTTTAATCCACATCAATAGATTTTTCTAATGTTAAGTCATCTTGGCATCCTAAAATAGACTCTTGTTGGATATAACCCCTGTTGGATATATTCATACACAAATTACTGCTGGATTTAGTTTGTTAATGTTTTATTTAGGACTTTTGTGTCTATGCAAAATAAGATTAACCTATAATTTTCCTTTCCTATACTGTCTTCATCTAGTTGTGCTATTAAGGTTACTCTGGTCTCATAAAATAAATTCAGGGCTTTTCTTTCTTTTTCTACTCCCTTTCGGACTGTCATGCTATCATTTCAAGTTCAGGGTGGAGGGGCTCTAGTGTACCTATCTGTGGTGCCTACGGGTTCCATTCCATGTGGAATATCTCCTCTCATGTTTTGGCATGTTTTGCTGAGCTCATCATGGTGGGACTTTTCCTTTAAGAATCCCCTGGTCCAGAGTTGTGGCACACTTCTTCCAGGGTGGTTTTGCATTTGCATTGGCCAGCTACTTCAGCAGTGTTATCAGTCTGGGACCAACATTGATGTCTGAACCTTGACTTAGGAATTCCTTAGGAATATAAACTCAAAACTCCAGCCTTTCATGAGGCACCAGAAGAACAATGTCTCAATTTCTTAGGTAACATTTTCTTTTCCATTCCTATCCAAAGCTAAGTCTCTACTTGTATTGGTGGACAGACTACTTCTCACCTATCATTACTTCATTAGGGTTGTAGCCTAACAAGAATCTTTCCTTTATGCAAGGGTTTCATTCTGATAGCCCACCCTACGTAAGCCCAAACCGAGCTTCAAGTTCATTGTGACTGACTGCCTAGGAGCCTTGGTGTCAGCTCACACGCTTACCACCTTGATATTCTGCTCCCTCTTCATTTCTGGCAGCTTGGGATTTCTTTCTTTCGAGCTCAACCATACATTTAAAATAATTTTTTGTATATACTGACCCTCATTTCTGGGTGTTTCAGGCAGCAGGATTTTTAGGTTGTATTGTTCTACCACCTTTTTGTAACTATAACTCTCTATATAAAAACTTTTTTAATTTACAGAAAGGATGACTCTCTTCCTTATGAAAAGAATCCTTTAGAAGGGCCTAGGCCACTCTAGGATGGAAGTGTTTCTATATGAAAAATGATCCCTGTTGTGGGGTGAATATGTATGTACCTCAAAAAAGTTTTGTTGAAGTCCTAACTCCCAGTACCTATAAATGTGACCTTATTTGGAAATATAATACAGATATAACCAAGATAAAATGAGGTAATACTGGATTAGGGCGGGCCCTCACCTAAAGACTGGCATCCTTGTAAGAAGAGGGAAATTTGGACACAGAGATAGAAAGGTGGCCATGCGACCATGGAGGAAGACTGGAGTAATGCATCTACAAACCAATGACCACCAGGAGGTAGTAGAGGTACAGGAAAAAGTCTTCCTTAAGCTTGCAGAGGGAGAGTGGCCCTGCCTGGATTTCAGACTTCTGGCCTTCAGAACTGTGAAAGAATAAATTTCTGTTGTTTGGAGCCAGTTTGTGGTAATTTGTTCCGGCAGCCCTAGGAAATTAACACAGCTCCTTAACTATAAAAAGCTATGGTACTGCTCACCTGTAAGGAAAGATAGTCTCAGTCTCCTCTGTGAAAATACGGTAAATATTTCATTCAAATTACAAATGAGTAGAACATTTCATATTTCTTTTTCAAAAAACTACTGAATATCCAAGATTTAATTCTGAAGTCTTAGACTTCTTTTATCTGTGAAAAATAGCCTTTAAAGAGAAAAGGTTTCCTATTTGAGGTACAGCACAAATTAGTTTGTCACAGCACAGTGAGGAAGAGGCTATCAAGGGGGGTGGGTTCAGGCACTCAGAGAAAGCACTTGCAAATGAGGGCAGGTGCAACTCAGCTTTTGCTCCTGAACACGCAGGGCCCACACCACAGGGTGACAGCTATATGTGCCTACCATCTGGCAACCCCTTCAGGACACGGCAGTTCTCTACCTCACGCCAGCTAGCAAGATGCCAGGCTTGGACTTTTCCTTTTGTTTTTATAATTCTGAGATTAGATCCCCCTAAAACGACCTCAACTTATCAGGTCAACTAAAAATTTACTATTCAAGGAGAGCAAAACGGACTTGATAAGTGAAATTCTAAATACTAGAAAACACAGATGCAAAATATATGACAAGCCATTTTGATATTTTAAAATCTGCCTGCGCTCCTGATTCATCCATAGAATGATAAGGTACTTACTCTAAGTCCTAGAATAGGAAATGATTTTACACATAAGGAGCAGACTTGGTGCCTAACTGCCTGCACTCAAATCCTGGGTCTACTGCCACTTACTAACAATATAAACTTGGCTAAGTTGCTTAACCTCAATCTCCTCCTCTGTAAAACAGGTATAATACTAGTATCTACCTCATAAGCCACATAACCCATAGAATAGTGCCTGGCATATAGATAGCACTCAATAATATTAGCTATTATGACTATAACAGCTTGATTTCTACTTCCATTGGGGCATTTTCCCCACTATATTATACTCAGTTATATATTTCTCTTGTGCCCTCATTGGATTTTAAGTCCCTTGAGAAAAGAGACCTACTCACTCATTTTTCACTCCCCTGTTCCTGTCATGTAATAAAAATTTTAAAGTTTAAAAGTGAAAAAATTAAAAAGCAAAAGCTTAAGAGCCATAAATGAAGTCTTTTTTCTTATTTTCTTGGCTTTCTTAGTCTCACCTTTTACCCATTCCAACATTTTAATCTAATAGCTCCTCCTTCCCTCACCCATTTTTCTCCCCTGCATCTAAGTGCAGAAAAAACTATGAAACTAAAGGCACAAAAACTAGTTGAACCCATGTCTCCAGGTGCTCGTGAGCACTCCACTAACAGAACTTAGGAGTTGGAGCAGCGATGCTTGAGGCTCTTGAAATCCACTTCGTCCATGATCCTATTGCCATAAACACACACCTCAGACCACTGCCAAATGCCAGATCTACTTTTATCACACAATGTGATCAGCATTGTGTGGTTAAAAGTAACCCAACCAATGCTGGTAAAAGTAACCCAACTCAAAAACCATTTTGTGGTTAAAAGTAACCCAACTTGTGGTTAAACTTATGGTTAAAAGTAACCTCAATTTTGCTGATGTTCTAAAAAAAGTGAATATGCTCACTTACTGTATACTGAAGTCACGGCCTTCTGCAGAACCTCGACCTGGATACCGGGCCAGTCGCAAGCCTAAAGTCTTGAGCCGTCTCCTGCATTCCAGAAAATCTTGGGTGTGGTAAAAGTCAGTAGAGGCTGAGAGTGGCAGTCCATCCCTCACCCGTACCACACAGGCAAAAAGGATCATGGACATGGTCCACAGGAGAAGTCATGAGGACACCTGAAAAAGCAAGGTCATCTTGTTACTGAGGGCTAGACCACAGTGCTAGAAACACATCCGCGCTCGAAATGCCTGTCCAGGTTGTTTCACCCTCACCCCCACTATAACTGCAAGTGTTGCTTTTATTATTATTTCCTCGCCTTCTACTGCTACATCATTCCCAATTTTCCTTCCTTCATTATCCTCCCTGTCTCTTCTGAATTTGTAATCCTCCTTTTCTAATTAATCTCTCCCTTTCCAGAATTAAGCCAACTAGGATGAGGGAAAGAGGACTAGACAAGGAAGCAAGCAGGACCAGAAGGCCTCAGGAACTACAGCAGTAAGAGCAGGTAGCAGGACACAGAGCAAGACAGCCTTAAAGAGACAAGAAGCACCTGACACCGAAGCAGCAAGGATTGGGGTCCAGAGACCCATGCATTTCAGGCCTGCCAGGAAGGCAGACGCTAAGCAGTTCAGTTGCCATATCCTCACTTGCAGGGAAATGGAGGTGGGTAGAGGCATTCTGAGCATCTAACCTAATGCTGGTGACAAGGAGAACAGAAGGCAAAATTGGAACTTAGCATGTCCTCCTGAATTTCTGCTAATGTCTGAGACAGAGCCAGTCTTCAAAATGATGAGAGTCTCTACAGATGGCTAAAAGAAATCATTTAGCAAATTATATTACAGTGATATACTAAATATTTGGCCATAATATGTGAGCACCATTAAGTAACAAAAAGAAACAGATCTGAGCCCTCTTGGTGCCTTTGGCCAATTAGAAAAAAGATGCCTCTCTGGGTGAGAACTGAGAACACCAGTTCTGCTGGCAGAACCTGGCTGAGTTTTAGCTCCATCCGTTAACTTCTCAGGGTGCTTGTCCAGGGCATACCCTGCACATCTGTGTGTGGCAGTCCTGCAACTAGGGATTAGTGATATGGCCATTAAAGCTTGAATGGGTCTTTCCATGTGTCTGTACTTCCTGTTTCATAGATCCTATTGACAGGATGTTAATAGGTATATCAATAGACCTTTCTTCCCAAGAACTCTAGGGATGCAACCTTATCCAGTATCTCAATTCTTCATTTCAAAAACAGGAGCCCCCAGGATGCACACTACTCTTCACCGCTGTGCCTCTATGCATTCTTTGCCTGTGTCTCAATGTCACTCCCCTGATCTCCCCATATCCAGATCAAAACCTGTCTCAAATCTACCTCCTACATTAAACCTTCCCAGACTTGCTGAGCTGGAAGTTCTCTCTCTCGTCTCCTCGGATCTCAGCGTCTCGCTTCGTCTCTCTATTCATCCCTCTCCTCTCCCTCCTCCTCTCACTCCCTCTCTCCTCCCTCTCTCTCTCTCCTCTCTCCTCTCTTCCCTCCTTCTTCCTCTCCCTCCTTCTCCCTCTCTCTTCCTCTCCCTTTCTCTCTCTTCCTCCTTCTCTCTCTCTTCTCTCTTCTCTCTCTCCCTCCTCTCTCCCTCCCCTTTCTCTCCCCTCTCTTCCTCCTCCTCCTTCCTTCCTCTCTCCCTCTCTTTCTCTCTTTCTTTCTTTCTTTTTTAAACAGAGCCTTGCTTTGTTGCCCAGGCTAGAGTGAGTGCCATGGCGTCAGTCTAGCTCACAGCAACCTCAAACTCCTGGGCTAAAGCGATCCTCCTGCCTCAGCCCCCAAGTAGCAGGACTACAGCATAGCACCATACCGGCTAATTTTTATCAGTTGGCCAATTAATTCTCTTTCTATTTATAGTAGAGACGGGGTCTCGCTCTTGCTCAGGCTGGTTGTGAACTCCTGACCTCGAGCAATCCACCCGCCTTGGCTTCCAGAGTGCTAGGATTACAGGCGTGAGCCACCGTGACCGGCTCTGGAAGTACTTTCTCCCTCTTTTAAATTCATAAGAAACTGGCTGCGCACACACGGTGACTCACGCCTGTAAGCCCAGCACTTTCGGAGGCCGAGGCAGGAGTACTGCTTGAGCAGCCAGGTGTTTAAGACCAGCCTGAGCAACATAGTGAGACCCTGTCTCTACAAAAAAATTTAAAAATTAGCCAGGTGTGGTGGTGCTTGCCTATAGTCCCAGCACTCGGGAGGCGGAGTCAAGAGGATCACTTGAGCCCAGGAGTTTGAGGTTGCAGTGAGCTATGATGACGCCACTGCATGCTAGCACAGGCAACAAAGTGAGACCCTGCCTCAAAAAAAAAAAAAAAAAAATTACTAGGAAACCTATCTCTTTGTTCTTTATTTTACTGATTTAGCATTTACACTACCTGAGTGTAAGTTGTAAGAATAAAGATCATGTCTGGAATGGATGCATGAAAGAATAATTAATCCCATTATATGCATGTAGAAACTACAGTGATATAAAAACACAGAGAGAGTAAAAAGAAAAGTTAGGCTACCAGCCAACAGACCCTATACAATCCATTTAACCCATCTCCCTACACCTGCTGTTGGGGAGTAAAAATGTGATAAGCCCCAGGAAAAATATATCCATACACAAAAACTACTAAGTTGCCAGGATCAATGGCAGGGCCAGGCCAACTGCCAGAAAGCACTGTGGGCTCTACACCGGCAAGTTGGCCAATGCTGAGACCTCTAGCACCAGAAAGAGAATAAGGGAGGTTAATCGCACTGTCTTCTATGTTTTCGTTAATGTTTGAAATATTTAATTTTAAGATGTTTTTAAAAAAGAGTTATAGGGCACCAAGCTCTGACAGATATAGGGGGAGACTACAAGATTAATTTGAGATCAGAGCTTAGAGTCTAAACAATAACTCTAACAAGAGTCTTAAGCCAATATATGAAGACACGGAGGCAAAAAAAAAAAAAAAAAGACAATGAATCAATGAGATACCAAAAGAGTCAGAGACAGGACAAAAACACCCAAAAGCAAAATAATAAAGGTATTTTTTGAGGGGCTGAGTAAATTACATGCTCTTCTAAAGGAAAGCAGTATGCATTTATTCCAACTGTCAACCCCAAAACACCCTCTCTAGTGCTGTCTTTATGAAGCATCTACTGTATGCTACACTGATAAAAAGGAAAATGGTGACAATGCCAAGTGATGGTAATCAGAAGAACCAGCTCTACCACTCTCTACAGCACAGGTCCCCAATCTTTTTGGCACCAGGGACTGTTTTCATGAAAGACAATTGTTCTACAGACCAGGGAGGTGGGGGATAGCTTCAGGATGATTCAAGCACGTTACATTTATTGTGTTCTTTATTTATATTATTACACTGTAATGTAATAATATACATAATATACATTATTATACATAATGTATAATTATTATGTATATTATTATACATAATAATGTATATTATGTATATTATTACATTACAGTATAATAATATAAATAATGTATATAATGAAATAATTATAAAACTCACCATAGGTTGGGGACTACTGCTCTAAAGGACCGTACAGTCCACTCCAGACTCCCTACTTCTCCCATCTTACCCTTTGGAGATCAAACCTGCTTTTCCTCAAACAAAAACATTCAAGATAAATAAAGGCCAGGTGTGGCGGCTCATGCCTGTAATCCTAGCACTCTGGGAGGCCCAGGTGGGTGGATCGCTCAAGGTCAGGAGTTTGAAACCAGCCTGAGCAAGAGTGAGACCCCCATCTCTACTAAAAATAGAAACAAATTAATTGGACAACTAAAAATATGTAGAAAAAATTAGCTGGGCATGGTGGTGCATGCCTACAGGCTACTCAGGAGGCTGAGGCTGAAAGATTGCTTGAGCCCAGGAGTTTGAGGTTGCTGTGAGCTAGGCTGACGCCATAGCACTCACTCTAGCCTGGGCAACAAAGGGAGACTCTGCCTCAAAAAAAAAAAAAAAAAGATAAATAAAAACTCTTACTTTTTCTCAATTCTATCAAGTTACTAGTACTGCAACCTAGTAAAACCCACAATACATTTTTTAAAATATTTAAAAATATCTGCTATGGCTGGGCAGTGGCTCACACCTGTAATCCTAGCACTCTGGGAGGTCGAGGCAGGAAGATTGCTTGAGCTCAGGAGTTCAAGACCAGCCTGAGCAAGAGCAAGACCCTATCTCTACCAAAAATAAATAAATAAATTTAAAAAAAATATCTGCTATGCTTAAATGAAGGTGACACTGTGACATTAACTGTTACTTGTGTTTGTGTGTAGGAGTTTGTGTGTGGGAATGCCTGAGGGGTTGAGAGAGTTTACACTGCTCATGGAAGAGACTAAGAATGGAGACAACACCCTTAACATTTTTTTTCCTTTGTGAAAATGCACTTTGTATTAAAAAAAAAACAAAAAACAATTTAATACAAAAAAGGAGGATCTCATCTTTACGGGAATTTGATGTTGGTGAATTCAAGTTATGAGCTCTTACAAGACTCAAACAAGAGATCTTACCACTGTTCAAAAAGAATGAACTTCTGCTTCTGGAAAGATGGTGCAGAAGTACTTTTCCCTACTCCTCCCACTAAATACAACTAAAAACTCTAGACATAATATATAAAATAAACATAAGAAGATCCTGAAAGGTGAGAGAAGGCTAGGGATCTCTCAACCTGAGGATTGACACAGCTGTGAGTTCACTGAGGTTTTTTTTTTTTTGCCTCATATATCCCAGACTTGGTATTAGAAAAGATAGCAAGAAATGCCAATGGGCACAGACCAAAAAAGCCACAACAATAAGAAACCTTCTCTCTCTAGTCAAAGAACTGGGAAAGGTACAGTACAGGAAAACAGCAAACTTTTAAATAAAAACTGCTCTACTCCAGCCAAACACCACAGGAAAAACTGCAGCCATCACACATCCACCAGCAAAGGCCAGTGAAGAGCCTAGAATTCTCCCCTTGCCCTGCAGTAATGAGGAGATGTCCCATTCTCCCCCTCCCTCCTACTAGGGTAGCATTAGAGAAGGCTAACTAGGGAGTTACAGGGCAGTTAAAAGAGCCATCCCCTCCCACTGTGTCATTAGGGAGACAGAATTCCCATCTCTACCCAGCAATAATGAGCAGCTCCTTTCACCCAGGGTGTCAACAAAG